TCTCAAGGGCGTTAACTGGCTGGCCTTTTTTACGAATCACTAAGTGCGGAAGGCCACTTCCGATGGCGGTCTTACGAGATGTGTCGTACGGGAAGTTTTCACAGGCCAAATACTTTATGTAGTTCTAGTCGCACTTGGATCTTGCCCAGCGACTGTCTTAAACGAGGGGGGGAAAGGGCATCCCTTTATGAGACAGGTGGGTAAAAACACGATTTCCTTTAAAAACGACGAAGTCGTAACACGTGGATCGCAAATTAAGTAGCATTTAATATTTGCCTATCCTTTAATTTTATTACTTAATCCTTTTTTATGGCTGCCCAGAAGTAGCTTGACTCTGAGGGGCCCAGGTATACCTATAAGGAACCCGGCTTGCTAATGAAGGACTGCGGTCGACCCTGAGTGGATGAGGAACTGGGCCTACCAATGACGAACCGTGATAAAACCTAAGGGACCGGGCCTACCGATGGGGGCTGCGATTGAACCTGGGAAATTAAGGTCGACCCTCAAGAACCAGTCATTCCAATGAGAGACCGTGGTTGATTTCGTTCATTACCATTAAACCGATATCCCGGTAATGATAATTCTATCTTGGTTTTATGTATTTCGCTCTTCCCAAGGTCGCTTCATTTCCGTGGTCTTTTTCTCTCCGGTGCCCTCTCCCTGATTAGTGTCCCTTGTTCCTTCGATTTACTGGACCTTAGATCTCTTACTCGACTCATTAGTTTTATTCAGTGATTCTTTTAAAGTATCAGAGATACTGTTAAAGACCTCACCTCGGTTGTCCCAGTTTAAGGTTTATCTGCCACACAGACCGTCTCAACAAATGTCTTATTCGCGCCAGATGAACCTGCTGGTGATTCGACTACCACGCTGATCGACACACCTGTTACCTCCTTCATACTAGCAGATTTCGTTGATGAGCTGTCTGCCGCGCCAGCCACCCTAGCTGGGACGTGTCAAGCTCTTTGTAACCTGCGGACCGGCGTCCCTACAAACAGGCCCACTGTGTTGAGGCTTGCGAAGGTCAACTTTCTTTAAACTTACCTTTTGCCGCTATTTATGGCCGATTGCCAACGACTCGGAAAGAGATAAGAGACATCTTTGGTCTCGTGGTCCTGCTTTGCGAGGGTATGTAACACGAATAATGCGCGTTTGAGCATCTGCGGTGGCAGGTCGTATACCATTAAAGATGATATTCTCTTCTTGCAGCGGAGCTGCATCATGCTGTATTCTTCTGTGGGCCCCTCAAATACCTGGTTCTTCATCCGGTGGCCTGTTTCCGCGGCTGCATGTCCACCTGTGCGGCCGTCCGGAGACACCGGCTCCTTGAAGGATTCTGTATCGGGAGGTCAACGGTCACATTCTATCTCCGGCAAGCTCCAGCGGCGAGGACCTTTTTAGGTTTTAGCAAAATCTATTAATTTCCTCAATCGCGTCACGTCCGGCACCCCGGCCTAGTCGATGGTCAAATTCATAGCTGCTGATGAAACCGCATCGTCAACGATGCTGGTATCCTTTGATGTCGATTCGAGCACTTTTATCAAGGTGGTCCAGGAGTCCTGGCCAAGTCAAGGTCTTACGATCAACCTTTCGTGTCCAAAAGAACATCTGCCTTAAACCACCTCTCTGTGAGGGACTGCCTCGATCCCGGACTGTTCATTATACCGTATGATGTTTGGGGCCTCCGACTCGGAGATCAAGTTAATGTCACGATAAAAGGCCACTCCCACGACTGCGGGAGACAAGCAAGTCCAAGATTACTCATACTCGCTTCCTATAAGTAACATCAATCTTGGGTACACGAGAGTAAAGATAACCTTTGTCGCGAAAGTAAGGCCTCAGCCGGTCGAAATAATCAAAACGTCAAGCCTCAGCGACTCATTTAATAATCTAGAGTCGCCATTTTGTTGGCTTGGTCCATCGAAAGGAATCGTCGACCGTTTTCCCAAGTGGAAGTCTTCACCGATCAATCCTCTCATCATATAATGCCTTTTGGTCAGCAACTAGCGGTTATCTTTCAAAATCTCGCTTCACCATGTCCTTCCAACGAGTGGGCTGGTTCGCCGATTTGAATGCGGCCTAAGTTCTCTCCAATGAAGAGAACAGCCGATCGCCTTCGCAAATTACCCACAGCTTGTGGATCTCCAAAGGTGGGGCACTCTCATACATTACTTTATTTCAACGCGCGAAAGAAGTAAAATGCTCGGGCGACTAAGATACTGGCCTGGAACAAGTCGGTACACTCGCAAGTTTCTTAGCACAGGACGTGTCAAGCTACATAGATCGCAATAGAGTAGTATTTAATGTAATCCTAAATTTTAAACTCCTTTACTCTATCTTTGCCGTGCACCTGGGTTCTCTACATTGAGTGGCCAGGAGCCACCAGACCTTGAGGGGCCGAGACCCACCTTGAGCGACCAGGCCAACCGACGAGTGGTCGAGAACGAGCCATGTCAATACTGTTTAACTGGTACCGTCGGTCGGTTTGACCCCGTTAGTGGTAATCTAAACCGCTCGTCACGGTTGGACCCAACGGCCACTCTTTTCTTGTGACCTCTAGGTCTCCGGTCCCTTTCTTGACCGCGAGGCTCTATGTCCGTCCGGATCATTAACTCTTACTTCCATTCATTTCCAAGTACTTTCTTCACCACAGCCTCCCCTTGCACTTGCTCGACCTTACTGCGGTCCGAACAAGAGCATGTCTTCACCATGCCAGTCCCGTAATTTTCATCTTCTCTTGTGGCCGATATATCTGCACTGTGATATTTGTGTGCTAGCAGCCATGTCATCACCGGGATCTGATTCACCATCTGAGGGTCCGGCTCTGACTCCTTCATCACCACCTGGCCACATCCTTTCCTTTTTCAGCGTTGCACAGCCTTAATCACCCATTAAAAGTCATAGCCGACTCCGGATAAACCACGGTATACCTTAGGATACACTTAGTCACTCCAATTGAGTCATGGTCGTCTTATACCTAGCATTGGTTGGTTTCAAAACTTTGGGTTACTCACGGAGGTCATGGCCAATCCACAGACGACCTGGAGGACCAACGCGTGATCGGTCTACTTCCCTGTTACTAGTCCACATGATTATGCATCACCTCGAAGCGGTTGAGGTTTATCATTTTGCGCTCAAACTCTTCTAATTCAAATCCACAATTCAAATCCACTTCGTCGACCCATGAGAGGTCCGCGTGACCCTTCCCACGGATTGAGAACTCGCGCCGTTGCTGACCGTAAAGCGTCTTCTTGCTGACACGGCTTTATAAAATCTCCCTCACTTCGTATTCGACTTCCTCCATTTCATGCGTCCAGCTATCCTCCGGCAACAAACATTTATCAAAGTGGATTCCATCGATCTCATCAACTATCAGCCGGTCACCTGGACGATCAGGAAGCTCCCTGACCCTTTCATCTTTGAAATGTGAACGATCGGAAATAACTGGTACTTCGTATCTCTTATTTCCAACCGCGAAGCATATTCACCGATCAACTCCAAAACTCGGAACGGACCATGCCAGAGGTGAGCCAACTTTTAGCGTACCCTTCCTTCACATTATCTAGGTAGAGCCACACTTAAATACCTGGCCGAACCCTGTGACCGAACACTTGTTAATTATGGGTTAGCATCCGGGCTTGACATGACGACCGCAAATGTTCATTCATCCGCTCCTTTGCTCGCTGGTAGTGACTCTGAATGTGGTACCTCCACGACCCTTTGCATCTGGTGTTCAATACTGGCAACGTTGTTTCCAGGGTGGTTCTAGCGTCCCACCCGTAGGCCAAATAGAACGGTGTCTTTTTTTCGCACCCTATCGCGTGCAGTATTCAGTACGAACGTTAGTCGTTCTGCATACTCGTCCCAATCCTGCTGTCCGACATCAGAGACATACATCTTGATGGACCTAGTCAGGGTTTGAACCATTCTTTCCGTGGCCCCATTCGCCTGGGGTCCGCAATCCATCGTTTCCCGTTGACACTGATCCACCATGCTATTAAACGCTCGAAAGAATTCCGACATGGAACCGGGTTTCCGGTCGTGGCGGATTGCCTCGCTAGCACCAAAACGGCGAAAAACGCATTCTTCGTACCCTTCGGCTACCGTCTGAGCAGTTTGCGAAGCACTAGCCTTGGCCATCACATACCCCGTGAACAGGTCGACCCAAATCTATAGTTCATTGTTTCCCTCATGTGAATTGGACAAAGAGGGGATGTGGTCCATTGCTATAATCTGGAAAGGGTAGGTTGCCTTGACGTTGCCTGGGGTTGTCCCTTGAAGGGTATGTTCCCCTTTTCCCGTCTCGCAATCCACACATAATCCCACATACCGCTGCACACTTCAAAAAAAGCCTCTCCAATGGCAATACCGGCGAATCCGATAGTAGCTGCGACCTGCCCCTTGATGACCGTCCTCCAGACTAGCGTGGTAGTGATGTAACACGTCGGTCCGGAGGGATTCGGGGATCACCAGTCGGGCGGTCATTTCTCGGTCCCTCGTCGGTCTTGTGGACGGGACAGTATACCAGTAATCCTTCTTCATTGACCTCGTAATCTCTGGCCATTTTTCTGTATGACTGTGCCGATTCTGCCGATAGGCCGCCTAGGCTTTCTTTCACATATGCCTCTAGGTCTATTATCCAGCTCCCTTCCTCTTGAGCCTTCCGGATACGTTCCACTCGCAGCTGTTGTACCACTTCTTTTTGCATCGTTTCTCCGATACTTTTATGGGTGGCCTTGATCGGGTCACCGCGAATACTCTAACCGTCCGATCCTCGTCTTTGGGGACTAACAGCTCTGGGAGTCGGTTGACCACTTCCAACCCTGGCCACTCTTCTCTCGGTACTGACTCGAACCCTCCTTGTCTGTGTACTGCTTCACTAGCCAGATGGTCCGCACTCTGGTTCGAATCGCGCTTACGTAGAGCATCTCGTGGAAAGTCTAGGACTGAAGCTTACCCAGAGCACTTGCACGCAATGGAGACAGCCCTGACGCCTTGCACTAGATATCTCCTCGCGTCTGCCGGACAAACAGATTGGAGTCTCCACAGATGATTAGTAGACGTCGCTCCAAACGTTCTAGAAACTCGAAACCCAGCAACATGCCTTCATATTCGGCCTCATTCACCGTGGATTCCTTGAGGTACTTGGAGGCAGCGCTTACTACCAACCACGTAGGCAGGCTCCATGCGCTGGCGCTACAAGCTCCTCCTCTTTGTTTCACACGATCCGCTACATCAAAGCTCAGTACATGAAGCTCCTCGTCGTTTTCCACAGTAGGCGTAGGTAGGTCGGTCTTCTTCTTCGCCTGTTTCTTAGGTGTGATAGCCGATAGGATCGAGTCTACACTCTCGCGAAGGGTAATACTGACTGCAAACACCCCCAGCACCTGGTATTTGCCTTTCTTGCACTTTACAATCACTAGTGTACACTGGGACAAGAGAGCGGCCCAATTTCCCAAACGCCTCCGCAATCCAGAGGATTTGACCAGCCAGACCAACGTCGAGTGTCTCGTTAATACTTTGAAAGATCGGGTGACCAGCATCATAACACAAATCAGTATCCGCAACAACGCCAACACTTCTTTATCCACGGTACTGTAGTTCAACTCGTTTGCTTTAGGCGTCCGGTTCATGAAGCTCACTGGCATAAACAGGCCGTCATAGTACTGCACCAACGACGCTGAGATGGCCCATTTGCTCGCGTAGACAATAATCACCGCTTATTTCGATGGGTCAAAATGCCGCAAAATAGGCGCTGTAGCAATCTCGTTCTTGAGCATAGCAAAAGCCACTTGAACTCTAGACCATTTCTCTTCATCTTCTCCCGTGGTCACTGAGTGGTGACCATATTTTGTAACTTGCATCGCCACGCGTGAAATTCCACGTCTCTCAGCACGTATAGAATTGACGCAAAGATAGCATAATCCTCGGTAAACCTGCTATAGTAATTCAGCCTTCCGAGGAACGACTGCATGACCTTTAGAGTTGTTGGTAGAGGTAGGTCGACAAGTGCTTGAAGGTCCTTTGGATGGGCTTCCAATCCTTCTCTGGATACCCGGTGGCCGAGGTAGTCGACTCTTCGACACCCCCACGAACTCTTGATTGCACTAATTGACACATTCCAGAAGTCGCATACTTCAAACAACCGTTCCATCTTGTCGCATAACGCGTTCCAAGATTCAGCGGGTATAAGCATGCCGTCTATGTACGACCGACGACTCAATATGGAGAGGCCTGACTCCGTGTGTGGTTCCCCCGACGCAAACAAATCTTCTGGCTTTTTCAATCTGGTCCCTGGAGGTACACGTAAGAAACCGTATAAAGCGTTGTCCAAAAGTCGCTAGTACATTGGTGGTGCATTCTTGAGTCCGAATAGCATCCGGAGCCATTCGGACAGTCCTAACGGTGTGACAAACGCTGAAATTAACCTTTCCCTCTCCGTTATGCTGACCACCCAAAAACCACTTGCCATATCGAGGGAGCAGTACCACAACGCACTACCCAAGTCTTCCAGTAACTCGTTAAATAGTGGCATGGGGTAGATTATGAGTTGAGTCAAGTCGTTTACCAACCGGTAGTCAATGCACAACCTGACGTCTACCACATTCTTCTTCACGATGCTTACGATTGGACTAGCTCACGGAGAGGTAGACGGTTGAATAATCTTCGCTGACAGTGGGCCCTATAATTAGGTCGGCCAACTTTGCTTTGAGCTGAGGGGCTACCTATCGCACACGTTGTGCAATCGGTCTCGCATTTCCCACGTCGATGTCGCATATTGCACCACGAGCGGCTGGTGGCAAGACGTTGCCTTTTTCCGTTAGCAGATGTCGCTTGTTCCATATGATTTGCCTCAATCGATCTACCTCTTCAGGCGTGTTCCCATCTGAATCAGGGATCTGTATGTCCTTCAACTCGATGCCTTCGGGCGAGGGTTCTACTTCTTGCATTACTACCCATCCTCGGCTTATTTATTCTGCCCAGAGTTATCCGCTCTCAAATGTGCACACTTGGTCGTCGGCTTGTGCTGGGTCCTCTTGTTTTGCTCTTGCTTCAAAGAAACCGGCTTTAATAGACTGAGTGACCGAGGATTCCATCGGCTGAAGTCCGGCGGCTTCTACAGGCTGGGTGACGGCGTTCGTTTCTTCGCCTGCTGGTAATTTCTTCACTGGTAGCTGTTAGGGAGAAACGTTCATCACCGGGGTGATCCGTTTTGGTCGCTGCAGAATATGTAATGGAGTATCATACTGGGGTTTGTACACTAGTGGCCTCTCGTCTTGCTCCATAGTGTCCAAATGATGGCCGATCGGGTCGGTGGTATCGTCGAATGCCAAATCCCACCACTCAGCGTTTCTTCTAGAGCCCACAGTGACGAACCCTAGTGTCCTCGATATTTGATCCTTCACCAATAATATTCCAATCTTGGTGTCGTAATGTAACCTTAATATGTGTGCTGACATCGGTCACCTTCAAGAAATGACGTTGGCCTACTCCTCGGATCACCGTAGTGACCCCCCCGTTCTCCTCTTGTCACCCATAGCACATTCTGATCCGAAGTTGATCCTTTCAGGGTTACTTCCACATACCCTCCAACAGGTAGTTGTGCGAGTTTGCTCAGCTTCACGTCGGTCACTCTGCCACCGTAAAGCATTCTTCGGCCGGACAGTTGTATACGAACTTCTTCTGAGAGACAGAGTGATCCCCCCCATGTCCAAGTGGATGCCAGCGGGGACCATGAGGTCCATCCCCAAAATTGCATCTTGGCCTTCCATAGGCTCGGATCCATACCTTAGAGGTAATTTACACCAAGTTTCCGTTCAAAGTGATCGTGATACAAGTGCGCCCTTCTGTGGTATATATTGATTCCCCAATACCGACACATTCTTGCCTTGCACTTTCGTCAATCTGAACCTAACTTACGAGCAAAGGCGATATCCAAATGGATATCTCGGCACCAGTATCAAGCAACAAGCTTGCGCGATCGTTATTGACTTTTCCAGAGGCCTTGGCCTGCTTGAACCACTTCGAAGGGGCATGGTTTTTCCAATAGCCCCTGGATTCGCCTGGTAGTAGCTCCGATTACATCACTGCATCTCCCCGATCAAAGCCATTAGGGTCATTAATTCTAGCAACATGAACCACAGGGTAGCTTCCGATCTTCGATATGTTCCCAATCTTCTTAGCTGCGGTATCTTCCTTGAAACTCAATTCCCCTTTAGTACCTATGTCTTCTTCGAAACTCTTCTCCACATATGCAAAGACATGACAATCAGAATGCTCGGCTCGTACCAGATTTCAAACCTGGCGAGCCTTCTAATTTATCATCTTCTCCTCCTTCTCCGGCATCATCCCAGCATGCTTGGTTGTGTTGTACCATTGACGGATCAAGTTATAAGACTCCTCCATCCGGCACTTTCTGGCCTCCTGGGCCTCTCCACATTACTTGCACACAAACAAAAAACGATACGTTGGGTGACCCTTATTCCCACAGCGGTCATACGTGAGTCGTTTGCAGCAATCCAAATCTCCATGATTTCGGTATGCTCAGTAAGCGCACTTCTGGTATTGAGCAGACAACCTCGGGCGAGATCCCTGGTCACCTTCATGGTGACGGTGATGGTTGGCCTCTTGGGGTCTTTGCACCTGTGTCCCTCTGTCCTTCCATCGCCATCAAGTGAATTGGCCCCAAGTCGTCTTCTTCACTGGAGCCGTCCAATTTCAAATCATCAGAGCTCGACTCTCCCACGGTCGCCCGATCTGCATGTAAACCGGCGGTTTACTTTTCTTGGTCGGTCGGGTGGTACGGGTGCCTTTTGTCGAAACTTGCTTGATCCAAAGAGTACCTTTCCTCGCCGCGCTTTCGTCCTCTGCCTGGCTCTCAACGCGTCTTTTAATTCGTGCATATCCTCCAGACGCAATATTGTGAGCTGGTCCGCCAGTTCCGGGTCGTCCAAAGACTCGATGTCGTGCTCGACGTGTTACTTTTGTACCTTGGGCGGTCCGTCCTTGATCTTAATCTTCGCCCTGAGTCCAATCACATTGATTCGGTACAAGTAATCCAATGGTGACTCATCTGACTCTTCTTCGGTAGTATTGACGAGCAACTGGCACCCTTAAACCGCAGAACTTCATCTGGAACTCTTGTAGGAGATCCTTCCAGCTTGATCGAACCGAGCGACCCAGTTGGAGGTACCAGTTCTAAGCTGGTCCAGTTAGTAATCCACCAAAGACAATACTCTGTCCATCGTCGGGCGCTCGATCTCTCGTGAACGCGATTTTCACCATGATGGTCACCCAACTGCGTGCTCGGTCTTCCTCTTGAGGTTTTCACCGTGGTCACCTAACTGCGTGCTCGGTCCTCGTCTTGAGGTTATCATAGTGGTCACATAACTGCGTGCTCGGTCCTCGTCTTGATTTCTTCCGTGAAAACGCTTGAGGTCCGGTTTCGCTGCAAGTTTAATGCGAGGCATTTGTCCTACTGTAGATGTTGCCATCCTCGCCAGTGGCCCCTCCAAGTCCATGTCGTCCAGGTCGTACTCGCATGTACCGACTGATTCCATCTCCACGTCAGTCATAGCAGGTCGTATCGAAACTTGCGTTCCGATCCTCAGTGCTTGTTAGGCCGCTGTCAACTGCGCCCTTTGTGCCTCTGCGGTCGTCCTTCCATCTTGGTATCCTTGTTTTACTTGGCGTTCGTGTAGAAGTCGTGCCATCGCTACGTCGTAGTATGTCTGCAAGTTACCTACCGTGTTGGTAGGCGCGTCCCCCAGCATCTTCGTCACGTGGTGGTGTAGATTTTTGGTAAAAACCGTACTGTATTCCCATTGGGTGAATATATACCCTATCAGGCGCTTGGATGTCCTTGGGTGGACACGTGTCGCCGTTTCGTGAACATACTGATTTTTCTCTTCGCCCCTTGCACAAGCCTGGAGCATCGCTTTTCCTGCCGGTCCCAGTGGCATCCTGTCGTAATGGTCAGGAGAAGACGAACTGTGTGACGACCGCTCCTCCGCGTCTTGGATACCTGGCGGAGTATTCGGTGGTGGGGGACGGCGCATCACCCTCGGGTTGTCGAGCCGTGGCTGCGCTCGGGGTAGGTTTCGAAGTCTTTGAGCTTCATCTGGATATCGCGAGACGGTGCCGTCATAGATTGCTGTGGCGGTACGTTGTTGTGTCTGGTGATGGTCCTAACCAGAATCGCCAATCGCTTGTGCATCTTCTCCAACATGCTCTTGATGCTGCTGAACCCAGGTCGAACAAAGTGCTTGGCCGAACCTTCCTGCAGCCATATTTGCCTCGCGGAGGAGGGTAACCAGCGCAGTGCCCGCGTCGGTGACCGTCCGGATGTGCGGTAGGGGTGACACCGGTCCCCTAGCTGTCCAAACAGCTGGATCTCAAAGGTTTTTGCGACGGGGTCGCATGGTCAGAGTGTGTCCAGCTTGCGTCGGTGGTAGGCGATCGTCACAGCATCGTCCGACCAGGCTGGCGGTCCTGCTTGGGCAGGGTCCACCGACTTTGTGTCCACCTGCGTCTTCGTCTTCGTGTTTTTTAATGGACTTAGCAATCATGGGATGTTTTGCTGTTGGGGACCATAGTTTTCCGGATTGCTTCGTCAGCTGATGGTCCGACTCGGTCGATGGTCCTGAGGTGTCGGGACCCATCGAATCGGTGTCCTCTGTCGCTTTCCTCATGGCCTTCTTCGGCTTGGACGTGGCGACCTTAAGGGTCTGTTGTTTATGACATCAAATCTTTTCGGTTTAAACCGTCTGCTGTTGGTCCTCTGGGGCATGATAGGTATAATGACCTAAGTCGTCTCTACGAGGACGTAGGGAGGGTATTTAGTTTTTTCCATTTATTTCAACCTTGACCATGTTGACCGTACCCCTCTCAAGGTCCGGTCGGTCCTTCGACTCTTTAATTTTGTCTTCTTGTGTCACTAGTGACGGGTTCCTCAGTGGTTCTTCGGTGTTCGATTTCTTTAGTGACCTTAACGTCTTTGTGGTAAAGCAAGTATTCGGAAATGATGGACTTAAGAGTCAATGAGGTTTAGATTACCACTAACGGGGTCAAACCGACCGACGGTACCAGTTAAACGGTATTGACATGGCTCGATCTCAACCACTCGTCGGTTGGCCTGGTCGCTCAAGGTGGGCCTCGGCCCCTCAAGGTCTGGTGGCTCCTGGCTACTCAATGTAAAGAACCCGGGTGGGAGGCAAAGGTAGAGTAAAGAAGTTTAAAGGATAGGAAGGCATTTAATACTACTCAATTGCGATTCAATTAGCATATGGCACGACGTGTCATGTGCTAAGAAACTTGTTAGTCTACCGACCTTTTACGGGCCAGGGATCGGGTTGGCCCTCCCGTCGAATGGACAGTTGTTAGTAAGAACCAAGTGTAAATAGAACCCCAGTAAGTAAATTGGCCTGTGGGTTCGTTGAGTATCACCCCCAACTTAATCCCGTTGTAGGAAGCGGTCTTGAGACCGTAGTGGTAAGGTAGAAACGTGAAGGCCAGGCGGCTAACACTCCTGAGACAAGTAAAGGCCAGGCGCGACCAGCACCTGAGATAACTGGTTATAAGACCACTATAGACCAAGTCGATTGAGTTGAAACCTACATCGGACCCCGACAGAAGCATATCCGCTTGGGGCCCCCTCAGGTTGACCTCCATCAAGGCCGACGTCTACACCATCACCAAGTCCTCCAAAGGTTGAAGCCCGTCAAGCCAACGGGTACAAAAGGTGCTTCAAGGTCCACAAGCGGCATCAGGGTACCCCCTCCGACATTCGGCAGTCCGGCAAAATGAGTGGTTGGGGTCTCGTCAAATAGTATTGACAAGTCACTTCACCACAATTGTGCACGTGCTCGAACCTTCGGAAGACGCGGAATTGCTCCGCGAGTTTCATAATAAAGGAGACATCAAGGTCAGTATAGAAATGAATATCAACTGAGAAACCCTTGATCAGTGACACAAGAAGACAAAATTAAAGAGTCGAAGGACCGACCGGACCTTGAGAGGGGTACGGTCAACATGGTCAAGGTTGAAATAAATGGAAAAAACTAAATACCCTCCCTACGTCCTCGTAGAGACGACTTAGGTCATTATACCTATCATGCCCCAGAGGACCAACAGCAGACGGTTTAAACCGAAAAGATTTGATGTCATAAACAACAGACCCTTAAGGTCGCCACGTCCAAGCCGAAGAAGGCCATGAGGAAAGCGACAGAGGACACCGATTCGATGGGTCCCGACACCTCAGGACCATCGACCGAGTCGGACCATCAGCTGACGAAGCAATCCGGAAAACTATGGTCCCCAACAGCAAAACATCCCATGATTGCTAAGTCCATTAAAAAACACGAAGACGAAGACGCAGGTGGACACAAAGTCGGTGGACCCTGCCCAAGCAGGACCGCCAGCCTGGTCGGACGATGCTGTGACGATCGCCTACCACCGACGCAAGCTGGACACACTCTGACCATGCGACCCCGTCGCAAAAACCTTTGAGATCCAGCTGTTTGGACAGCTAGGGGACCGGTGTCACCCCTACCGCACATCCGGACGGTCACCGACGCGGGCACTGCGCTGGTTACCCTCCTCCGCGAGGCAAATATGGCTGCAGGAAGGTTCGGCCAAGCACTTTGTTCGACCTGGGTTCAGCAGCATCAAGAGCATGTTGGAGAAGATGCACAAGCGATTGGCGATTCTGGTTAGGACCATCACCAGACACAACAACGTACCGCCACAGCAATCTATGACGGCACCGTCTCGCGATATCCAGATGAAGCTCAAAGACTTCGAAACCTACCCCGAGCGCAGCCACGGCTCGACAACCCGAGGGTGATGCGCCGTCCCCCACCACCGAATACTCCGCCAGGTATCCAAGACGCGGAGGAGCGGTCGTCACACAGTTCGTCTTCTCCTGACCATTACGACAGGATGCCACTGGGACCGGCAGGAAAAGCGATGCTCCAGGCTTGTGCAAGGGGCGAAGAGAAAAATCAGTATGTTCACGAAACGGCGACACGTGTCCACCCAAGGACATCCAAGCGCCTGATAGGGTATATATTCACCCAATGGGAATACAGTACGGTTTTTACCAAAAATCTACACCACCACGTGACGAAGATGCTGGGGGACGCGCCTACCAACACGGTAGGTAACTTGCAGACATACTACGACGTAGCGATGGCACGACTTCTACACGAACGCCAAGTAAAACAAGGATACCAAGATGGAAGGACGACCGCAGAGGCACAAAGGGCGCAGTTGACAGCGGCCTAACAAGCACTGAGGATCGGAACGCAAGTTTCGATACGACCTGCTATGACTGACGTGGAGATGGAATCAGTCGGTACATGCGAGTACGACCTGGACGACATGGACTTGGAGGGGCCACTGGCGAGGATGGCAACATCTACAGTAGGACAAATGCCTCGCATTAAACTTGCAGCGAAACCGGACCTCAAGCGTTTTCACGGAAGAAATCAAGACGAGGACCGAGCACGCAGTTATGTGACCACTATGATAACCTCAAGACGAGGACCGAGCACGCAGTTAGGTGACCACGGTGAAAACCTCAAGAGGAAGACCGAGCACGCAGTTGGGTGACCATCATGGTGAAAATCGCGTTCACGAGAGATCGAGCGCCCGACGATGGACAGAGTATTGTCTTTGGTGGATTACTAACTGGACCAGCTTAGAACTGGTATCGCCAACTGGGTCGCTCGATTCGATCAAGCTGGAAGGATCTCCTACAAGAGTTCCAGATGAAGTTCTGCGGTTTAAGGGTGCCAGTTGCTCGTCAATACTACCGAAGAAGAGTCAGATGAGTCACCATTGGATTACTTGTACCGAATCAATGTGATTGGACTCAGGGCGAAGATTAAGATCAAGGACGGACCGCCCAAGGTACAAAAGTAACACGTCGAGCACGACATCGAGTCTTTGGACGACCCGGAACTGGCGGACCAGCTCACAATATTGCGTCTGGAGGATATGCACGAATTAAAAGACGCGTTGAGAGCCAGGCAGAGGACGAAAGCGCGGCGAGGAAAGGTACTCTTTGGATCAAGCAAGTTTCGACAAAAGGCACCCGTACCACCCGACCGACCAAGAAAAGTAAACCGCCGGTTTACATGCAGTCCTAACGGTGTGACAAACGCTTAAATTAACCTTTCCCTCTCCGTCATGCTGACCACCCAAAAACCACTTGCCATATCGAGGGAGCAGTACCACAACGCACTACCCAAGTCTTCCAGTAACTCGTTAAATAGTGGCATGGGGTAGATTATGAGTTGAGTCAAGTCGTTTACCAACCGGTAGTCAATGCACAACCTGACGTCTACCACATTCTTCTTCACGATGCTTACGATTGGACTAGCTCACGGAGAGGTAGACGGTTGAATAATCTTCGCTGACAGTGGGCCCTATAATTAGGTCGGCCAACTTTGCTTTGAACTGGGGAGCCACCTTCCGTACACGTTGTGCAATCGGTCTGGCATTACCCACTTCGATGTCGCATATTGCACCACGAGCGGCTGGTGGCAAGACGTTGCCTTTTTCCGTTAGCAGATGTCGCTTGTTCCATATGATTTGCCTCAATCGATCTACCTCTTCAGGCGTGTTCCCATCTGAATCAGGGATCTGTATGTCCTTCAACTCGATGCCTTCGGGCGAGGGTTCTACTTCTTGCATTACTACCCATCCTCGGCTTATTTATTCTGCCCAGAGTTATCCGCTCTCAAATGTGCACACTTGGTCGTCGGCTTGTGCTGGGTCCTCTTGTTTTGCTCTTGCTTCAAAGAAACCGGCTTTAATAGACTGAGTGACCGAGGATTCCATCGGCTGAAGTCCGGCGGCTTCTACAGGCTGGGTGACGGCGTTCGTTTCTTCGCCTGCTGGTAATTTCTTCACTGGTAGCTGTTAGGGAGAAACGTTCATCACCGGGGTGATCCGTTTTGGTCGCTGCAGAATATGTAATGGAGTATCATACTGGGGTTTGTACACTAGTGGCCTCTCGTCTTGCTCCATAGTGTCCAAATGATGGCCGATCGGGTCGGTGGTATCGTCGAATGCCAAATCCCACCACTCAGTGTTTCTTCTAGAGCCCACAGTGACGAACCCTAGTGTCCTCGATATTTGATCCTTCACCAATAATATTCCAATCTTGGTGTCGTAATGTAACCTTAATATGTGTGCTGACATCGGTCACCTTCAAGAAATGACGTTGGCCTACTCCTCGGATCACCGTAGTGACCCCCCCCGTTCTCCTCTTGTCACCCATAGCACATTCTGATCCGAAGTTGATCCTTTCAGGGTTACTTCCACATACCCTCCAACAGGTAGTTGTGCGAGTTTGCTCAGCTTCACGTCGGTCACTCTGCCACCGTAAAGCATTCTTCGGCCGGACAGTTGTATACGAACTTCTTCTGAGAGACAGAGTGATCCCCCCATGTCCAAGTGGATGCCAGCGGGGACCATGAGGTCCATCCCCAAAATTGCATCTTGGCCTTCCATAGGCTCGGATCCATACCTTAGAGGTAATTTACACCAAGTTTCCGTTCAAAGTGATCGTGATACAAGTGCGCCCTTCTGTGGTATATATTGATTCCCCAATACCGACACATTCTTGCCTTGCACTTTCGTCAATCTGAACCTAACTTACGAGCAAAGGCGATATCCAAATGGATATCTCGGCACCAGTATCAAGCAACAAGCTTGCGCGATCGTTATTGACTTTTCCAGAGGCCTTGGCCTGCTTGAACCACTTCGAAGGGGCATGGTTTTTCCAATAGCCCCTGGATTCGCCTGGTAGTAGCTCCGATTACATCACTGCATCTCCCCGATCAAAGCCATTAGGGTCATTAATTCTAGCAACATGAACCACAGGGTAGCTTCCGATCTTCGATATGTTCCCAATCTTCTTAGCTGCGGTATCTTCCTTGAAACTCAATTCCCCTTTAGTACCTATGTCTTCTTCGAAACTCTTCTCCACATATGCAAAGACATGACAATCAGAATGCTCGGCTCGTACCAGATTTCAAACCTGGCGAGCCTTCTAATTTATCATCTTCTCCTCCTTCTCCGGCATCATCCCAGCATGCTTGGTTGTGTTGTACCATTGACGGATCAAGTTATAAGACTCCTCCATCCGGCACTTTCTGGCCTCCTGGGCCTCTCCACATTACTTGCACACAAACAAAAAACGATACGTTGGGTGACCCTTATTCCCACAGCGGTCATACGTGAGTCGTTTGCAGCAATCCAAATCTCCATGATTTCGGTATGCTCAGTAAGCGCACTTCTGGTATTGAGCAGACAACGTCGGGCGAGATCACTGGTCACCTTCATGGTGACGGTGATGGTTGGCCTCTTGGGGTCTTTGCACCTGTGTCCCTCTGTCCTTCCATCGCCATCAAGTGAATTGGCCTCAAGTCGTCTTCTTCACTGGAGCCGTCCAATTTCAAATCATCAGAGCTCGACTCTCCCACGGTCGCCCGTGAAGGAAGATTTCAGCAATAAAGATCTTGGAGATCTCAAGTACTGCCTCGGGATCGAGATTCATCGCAAGCGCGAAGATGGAACGATCAAGATGAACCAGAAGGCGTACATCAAGCGACTTTCGGAGAAGTTCGGCGTTGAAAACTGCAAGGACGTGCACACGCCGGCGGACAGTAACTCGAAGCTGATCAAGATAGGTCAAGAGGAAGCGTTTGTACCAAAGTACCCATACCGTGAGCTGGTGGGCGCTTTAATGTACATCGCCACATGTACACGACCGGACATTGCGCATGCGGTTGGCGAAGTTGCGAAGTTTTGCGAGCGCTACGACAAGTCGCATTGGACAGCAGCAAAGCGGATTCTCAAGTATCTCAAGACGACTCAAGACTTAAGCATCGTTTTCAGCGGCATCAACAAGGGAGAGCTGATCGGATTCGCGGATGCCAACTGGGCTGGCGACCTCGACACGCGGCGTTCGACAACAGGATACGTTTTCTTCCTGTACGGAAGCGTGATATCGTGGAATTCGAAGCGTCAACCAACGGTCGCGACCTCAAGTACGGAAGCAGAGTACATGAGTCTGTACAGCGCGACGCAGGAAGCAATTTGGCTTCGAGGTCTGCTCAAGGACCTGAACTACTGTGCCAAGAACGCGACGACGATAATTCAAGACAATCAAGGATGCATCGCGCTGGCCAAGAATCCTGTGTACCACTCGCGCACGAAGCACATCGACATCAAGTTTCATTTTTTGCATAGCAAGTGCAGTGATCGCGCTCGAGTTCAAGCCGACGGAAGAAATGGTCGCGGATGGATTCACCAAGGCACATCCAAGAGACAAGCACGGGAAGTTCATCACGGGTCTGTGCATGGTGGTGTAGGGCGCACACGTCGCACGCACATCAAGGAAAAGTGTTAGCGAGTGATGCTGCGGCGACTTGTGCAGGGTGTATGTTGCATATTACCACTAGTTGTACTGTTCTTTGGCAGATTCATGTCGTGGGATGTCAGCGATTCGACAAAGCATCAGATTGGCTCAGTCGTTTGGAAGGGGTATTCCACGCGGGTGAGTGCGGGTTTGAACCCCGTGCAAGTTAATTGTGACTGACACTCACGACCTGGTGTTTGGGGTTCACCAGAACTGTGACCCGCCCGCAGTTACGTCCCCCACCCACGCAATCACTTCATTCTCCGTTTGACACAGCGGAGTTTTTACGAAAGGTATTTACGAGACGTAATTACCCAGGGATAGGTAAAACAGAAAGCGGTGGAGACAGGGCACGAAATAGGTGGCTGAGAGCCACCGGCTACTACTAGCCATTCGTTTTCGAAGCTAGGAACCATTTGAATACAACTCACTTTTCGGTTTTCATCCCCGGCCGTAAGCCATCTTCTTCTTCTCATCAGCTCCGCAACCTAGTTAATTCTAACACACTGAGCCAGGGGCTGAGACGTTTAATACGATGATCTTTTTTCGTGTCAGTGTGTGCTGACTTCGTGTGTCAGCAAAAGTTTTCGACCGCAATCAGGCATGTCAGCAAACATTAGATCATTTTACGCTGGAGTGACGTTTGCTTGGGACCTGTCCTGTTGATATCGCACGGAATCGGACAATCTTGTCAAATATGCTTTACCAAAGCTATCTTGGTAGCTAGTAAATACATAATATCCTTCCTCGATACGACCAGTTCGATGGAGTCTTGTCGGCGCTCCGTCCTACGTCACTTGCACATCCTTATGTCGTAGGTCTACAGCTGATGTTCTTTATGCGACTTACGGATGGATCACTTTGACTCGTCCGCTTGCAACGAGAGAAATTCGAGTTAGGTGCAAGCCTCATTTCACACTCTCTGACTTGTCTCTCTGATGATGCCGCTTGAATTATTGCGCGAAAAAGATGACCCTTGCATGTGTGCGCACGTACCTACGTATTCTAGTGCTTGCCAAAACAAGACCCTTTTCTTCGGAAAGACACACAATTTTACAAATCGAAAGAGGATTGCATTGATATGTGAATCCAACACGGGTTCATCGGCAAAGACTAAAGTGCCTTCATCTGTAACGAAGACTTTTGATGCTTTGGTATGGCACCCACCCAAGTGTTGGAGCTAAAAGGGTCGAGAGCAGTACAGTTTTTTGTGTGCAAAGCAATGATTTATAGTTTATGATAACCCTACCCCAGACATCAGCGCGCGGCTGGCGCAATGGATAGCGTATCAGACTTCGAATCTGGGGGTTGCGGGTTCGAGTCCCCCGTCGCGTAGTTGCTTTGACCGACAAAACACACTCTTTACCAAATACCGAACCTGACAAACCGTGATCAGAGGAAAAGAGAAGTAACGCAGTATCGCAGGCAGCATCGATGTACTGAGTGACTGCTTCCCACCCCACTTCACAAGCTCCACTTCATCGAAAGAAATTTTTCATCATGGCAATATGCGTGCGCTTGCTTCCGACACAGGATGCTCTCCCTAGTAACTGTTGGAAGTGGAGTTGTCATAGCGGACACTCCCTTCCGGGTCGACGCCCCACTTGCCAGGTTTAGTAGTTACAGTGGGTGATTTGTGTGTTTACACTAAGTTCTAGAAGATTTTTGGTTTGGTAGTGCACGATACAGAAAGATCTCACTTCTAGATTGGATAAGCTACTGACGAGGCCCCCGGCGGGGAGCCGAAACGTGTCTGGCGTTTTAATACAGAAGCCTTTCATTACATTTCTTTGATTTCCAACAGTAACCTCAACGTGTACGCGATATCGAACGCAAGACACTTCACGCGAATCGAATGAGTCACTAGGGTGATAACTCACTGGGAAAGTGAGTCACTAGGGCGATAATCCACTGGAAAGTGCAATGCAGATTGGCACTTGTTCATTCATCTTGTGTCAAAACGTATCTATGTCAGCACAACACAACGGAGAGATTGGACGATCACTACTGCCAAAACCCTCGTTCGAAAGACCATCGAAACATAAACAAACTCACAGTCATGAAAAGTGAAGTCTATGCGGAAAGCAAAGCTGGGTGTTCAGACAGAACATAAACTTCGTAGCAGCACGGTTTCAGAACGTGAATGACCTGAATAGGAGCCGGAGTTGCCAGTCTGAAGATATCGATCAGGCGAGAGCAGATACCGTAAGATTTACTTGTAAAGAGAGCTGTTGCAGATCTTCGTCTCCATAATTAGCGGTTGATGCCCTTTTATCGAAAGAGGGCGGCCGACAATCACGAGAGGCAGACCAGGCAGATTTTGTCGGCCTGCGCGATCAGAGCACAAAGCTCAAGACAAATGGTGAGAAGTCGTGCTGCTGTGGCCAATTTGTTGATGTTGTTTGCACCAGGTGCAGGAGTCGTTGAGTTCATGTTTGCGTCAATGCGAAGAATGAGTCGCTGATGTTTCCGCGAGGTAGTAATCACAACGACACAAAACATTTTCTCTATGCGCACATGTCGCATCACCGATTCTTAACACTCCTTTTAACTGAAATACCGCGAAACGTCTGGATCTTCGATGAAAGGTAGCCCAAAAGGCGGACAGTAATATTGGGCTCGCTGGAGATGCGCAACTTCGTCAACATGGGATTGCTGGAAAAGGAGCTGTCATAGCGGACACTCCTATTTTGGTAAACTCCTCAGCTGCCAGTTGTGGTGATTATTGTGTGGTGGTTGTGTGGTAACTGTAAGTACCGGAATGTGTTTTGCAGGGTATAGTGCGTGATAGAGTCTGTAGTGCGTAATACAGCAGAGCTCACTTCTC